ATATATATATATATATGTATATGAATCGATCGATGTTGTCTTACACTCCCGGAATAAGTAAGGCTTGTGGTCTCATGTCCTTTTTTTATTATAGAGTTCGGACAGTTGTATAACCTTTTTTGTTGTTGCTATAAATTCAACATTTGATGTGCCAATATTGAATGATTACCCACATTTTTCTATATATAGAAATATGATGTTTATATCAAATTATACACTAATAACATTTATTTTTCTCTGACGTGTAATATATATGGAAGTGAATAGGTAGTTTCTAAAATTATAAGCATTGACTCGGTCCCGTAGCTCAGTTGGTTAGAGCGTTGGTCTTATGAGCCGAAGGTCGCGGGTTCGAGCCCCGCCGGGACCATTCTCTTCCTTTTTTGTTAAAATTTAAAATATTTACTTTTGGATGATCATCGCAATCAATGATGCGCACATTTCCTTCTGGATTCATCTTCTTCGTTGCCATCTTCTCCCCTTCACCAAAAGAATCGTTAGCTCAGACATGAATGGAAGGAATTGCAATTGAAGTCTTTGCTTGTTAATCATTGGATTAGGGTTCACGAATCGTAAATCACGATCACTGTCCGAATCTTCCTCCGTTTCGATCATCTTCCCCGATCGTTGTTTCTCCAGATTTTTCAATTTTCCACCTAATCTTCTGATTCATCAAAGTATGATTCTGTAGCATTGGATTCCAACAAGTACGAGAAAAATTCCAAGTTATAGACGGAGAAGATGGTTCACAGCGCTTATGATTCGTTCCAGCTTCTCAAGGATTGTCCAGCCAGGATCGATGCTCTCGAATCCTACGGGTCCAAGATCTTCGCTGGATGCTACGACGGCTCCCTCCGTATTTACGCGCCGGAAACCTCCGCCTCTGACCGCTTTCCGCCGTTGGAGCTGCAGAAACAGCCGTACGTGCTCGATAAGACGGTGGTGGGGTTCTCGAGGAGGCCGATCGTTGCGATGGAGGTTTTGTCGTCTAGAGAACTGCTTTTATCCCTGTCGGAATCCATCGCGTTTCACGGACTTCCCGATTTGGAGACTGTCGCTGTGATCACCAAAGCTAAGGGTGCGAACGTATACTCTTGGGATGACCGGCGAGGGTTCCTGTGTTTCGCAAGGCAGAAGAGGGTCTGCGTATTCAAGCACGATGGTAATCTCTTGAGTTCTCGGGACTGGATTTCTCATCTTGTCGGATTGAATAAGTATAATCCGTGTTCTTATGCTTGGTGGGTGTTTAGGAGGAAGGGGGTTTGTGGAGGTGAGAGAATATGGAGTTCCTGATACTGTGAAGTCGATGTCTTGGTGTGGAGAAAACATTTGTTTGGGCATTAGGAAAGAATATGTGATACTGAACACTGCAAATGGTGCTCTTTCTGAGGTGTTTCCTTCTGGTAGGATTGCTCCTCCTTTGGTGGTATCTCTCCCTTCTGGTGAACTTATTCTGGGGAAGGTAATACTTTCCTCTCCTTTTCCCTCCGTGTATCTGCTTGATTTGCCTAAGGGTAGTGACTCCTGTTTGAATTTGAATCCGTTTCATGAGGAAACATGGTGATATAGCATCTCTTGTTCTTTTTCGATGATTCCCTTGTTTATGTCCAAGAGCTTTAGGGTCCCAACTTTGTCACTCTTACCTATTCCCTAGACTTATATTGTGCAATCTGTATCTGAAGGGTTGGGATAATTTAGTAAAGAGTGTCTGTTGTTATCTTTACTAGTTTCTCTATCTACTTGTAGGAGAATGTTGGAGTTTTCGTTGACCAAAACGGAAAGCTCCTTCAAGCAGACAGGATTTGCTGGTCTGAGGCCCCAACCGCTGTTGTCATTCAAAATCCGTACGGAATAGCTCTGTTACCCAGACGAGTTGAGGTATCTAAGTTGTCATGAGCAATAACTCCCTGCTTCTTTACATGTGTCTAGACGCCAATTACGGGCTTATATCATCTAACCATCAAAGCTTTGACAGGTTCGCTTGCTCCGAAGTTCATATCCATTGATACAAACGATAGTCCTCCAAAATGTCCGTCACCTTGTCAAGAGCAACAATGCTGTGATTGTTGGTTTGGATAACTCTGTTTATGTTCTCTTCCCGGTCTCTCTTGGTGCCCAGGTATGTTAATCTTTGAGAAGATTGATGTTTCCTGCTGTAGCACTTACCGTTATTTTCTTATGGATGAATATGATGCTTTTGTTAATTTTCCTCTCATTTGGTTTGGATATGATCCCATTCCGACTTACTTCTTTCTTGTCATGCTTAAATATTTTACACAATGTGCAATGCTCTTCTGAAGCGAGGCAATTGGTTTTTTTCCCTTTTTTGGAAACTTATATGAAATGTCTACGGGAAATTGATATTACCTCACATTGGGTCGGATAGACGCTTTTGACATATTCTGAGAAAGCTAAGTTGTACTGTAGATCGTGCAATTAACAGCTTCTGGAAATTTTGAGGAAGCTTTAGCTCTATGCAAGTTGCTTCCTCCTGAAGACTCCAGTCTTCGAGCTGCAAAAGAGAGCTCAATTCATGTAAGGTGTGTATTGCCAGAAGCCTCTCTTTTCCTTTTTCTAATCAGTAGCTACCAGTTAGTTATGATGACCTCTTCCATGGAAATCCTTTTTATAATGATACAGATATGCTCATTATCTTTTTGATAATGGGAGCTATGAGGAAGCCATGGAACAATTCTTGGCATCTCAAGTAGATATCACTTATGTACTTTCCTTGTATCAATCAATTGTTCTCCCAAAAACAACAATTGTACCTCAACCAGAGAAGATGGTGGACATTACTGGTGATGAAGCACCTCTGTCAAGAGGTTCATCGGGCATTTCAGATGATATGGAATCCACATCCCCACTATACCTTTTTGAATCTGAAGATAATTCTGCCCTTGAATCGAAGAAAATGAGCCACAACACTCTGATGGCTCTTATCAAGTATTTGCAGAAGAGGAGGCAAAGTATCATTGAGAAGGCCACCGCTGAAGGGACAGAAGAGGCTGTTTCAGACGCTGTTGGAGATACTTATGGAGTGTACGATTCTTCTAAGTTTAAGAAATCCACCAAGGTGCAGTCTAGTTTTCTCTCTCTGATGAGCTAATTGATGACGAAATCTTACGATCTCGCAATGTGATCTGTTCCCTTTTGCTAAATCAACATATGAACTTTATTTGCAACGAAAATTTTGTTGGGGTTCTAACAACTTTTATACTGAAGGGACGTGGTACTGTCCCCATTAACTCAGGTGCTAGGGAGATGGCGGCAATCCTTGATACAGCTCTTCTTCAAGCACTTCTACATACTGGACAGTCTGGAGCTGCAATAGAATTACTAAAAGGTCTCAACTACTGTGATGTAAAGATTAGCGAGGAGATTCTCCTGAAAAGTAAAAACTATTCTGCATTGTTGGAATTGTACAAGAGCAAATCCATGCACCAGGAAGCCCTTAAGCTTCTTCATCAGCTAGCTGAAGAATCCAAATCAAACGAGTTGCAAACTGAAGTTAAGCAGAAATTTAGTCCTGAGTCAGTCATTGAATATCTCAAGGCAAGTTTCTCAGTGCCATTTTTTCATCTTGATAAAGTTTTTGACTAATATCTTTTTCCTTATGCTTAGTACATACTTCACTTCAACTTTTCCTATTTCTAATGTTTATTAATAGACATTTCCGAATGTAATCTATCTTATTCATGGTTTTTTAAGGGGAGGAACCCTTAACATTGTTTAACCAAATTTTTACTTGGCTCTTCCTGAGGATAACCTAGTATATATTATGGTGTAGAGATCAAAATTCTGTGCAATATCTATGAGCTTCTAACAGTAAAATATTGGTGGTTTACTTTTTGCAGCCTCTCTGCAGGACTGATCCCATGCTTGTCTTGGAGTACTCTATGCTTGTCTTGGAAAGCTGTCCGACCCAAACCATTGAGTTATTTTTGTCTGGAAATATCCCAGCCGACCTTGTCAACTCATATCTGAAACAACATGCTCCGAATTTGCAGGGCAGATACTTAGAACTTATGATGGAAATGAACGAAACCGCGATTTCTGGAAACCTACAAAACGAGATGGTGAGGACATCATTCTTATATGTGAAGCATGTTTCTAGTTTTGATTTCATAATTGGTGACAGTGACTTGTGAATGATGTTACAGGTACAAATCTACCTCTCAGAGGTTCTCGAATTGTACGCTGAGCTTAACGCTCAGCAGAAATGGGACGAGAAGGATCATCCCTCGGCGAGGAAAAAACTATTGTCTGCACTAGAGAGCATCTCTGGATACAGTCCAGAGACTCTGTTGAAGCGTCTCCCTCCAGATGCTCTCTTTGAAGAGCGTGCAGTTTTGTTGGGGAAAATTAATCAGCATGAACTTGCTTTGTCCATTTATGTCCATAAGGTACCAGTGTCCATCTTTCGAATAAAGTTACCCAAAAAACTTTTTAAGTGTGGCAGAATTATAAAATTTAAAACTAGTTGGTGTTGGCTGTTAGTGATAATCACATCCCGCTCGAACAAATCTACTGTAAAAAATAGGTATGCTTGGATTCTGTAGAACATGTTGCTTGATGTTATCTCTCCACTTCTTGTTCCTTCGCATTATTTCCAATATTAAACACATGCTGAAAATTGGATTTTAACTTGACCCTCTGTAGCTTCATGCACCTGACCTGGCGCTGGCGTATTGTGATCGTATCTACGAGTCTGTTGCCCATCTACCATCTGGAAAATCATCTAGCAACATCTACCTTACACTTCTCCAAATATATCTGAATCCTAAAAGGATGACGAAGGACTTTGCGAAACGGATTATGGATCTTGGATCATCTCAAAATTCAACCCCTGCAAGGATGGGGTCGGTTACGTCTTTTAAAGGTAAAGGAGGTCGGTCCAAGAAAATCGCTGCAATAGAGGGAGCCGAGGATATGCGGGTCAGTCTCAGTAGCACTGACAGTGGGAAGAGCGATGGCGATGCAGAAGAACCTATGGAGGAAGGAAACTCTACTGTCATGATTTCTGAAGTTCTTGACCTGTTGAGCCGAAGATGGGAAAGAATCAATGGTGCTCATGCCCTCAAGCTTTTACCAAGAGAGACCAAACTCCAGGTAAAACATGCGAAATATGTGAAAGATGGATTGGATTTATACATTTGAGACCAGACTCTGCAATTTTGGATAATTTGAAACTGGTATTTGCTTCAGCTCATATATCTTTTTCACCCTGTGGATCTACATGTTATCATCAATCTCCCTGCAGAATTTGCTTCCTTTTCTCGGACCCCTCTTGAGAAAATCGAGTGAAGCACACCGGAACTTCTCGGTCATCAAGAGTTTGAGGCAGAGCGAAAATCTTCAGGTATACCTCTGTTCCGCTAGCCAAGATAAAACCCTTATACGCATCAATTTTTTTTCATGAATATAGTTTCGAGTCCGATCTTTGATACCAAATCTGATGTTATAATTTAGTAGGTTAAAATCGGCCGGAATCCTCTCTTTACTAGAGGTTCTCTCTTAGGATCTTTCCCTTTGATCGTTATTGACTTTGTTTTTGCTCGTCACTAGGGAATTATAAGCACTGGATGGTTCACCAGTCCACATAACATGATCCATTCAATATGTATATAACTAATCGTGTGATGTCTGATAAAACAGGTGAAAGACGAACTGTACAGCCATAGGAAAGGTGTGGTAAAAGTGACAAGCGAGAGCATGTGTTCTCTGTGCAACAAGAAAATTGGGACGAGCGTTTTCGCTGTCTACCCGAACGGGAAAACGATAGTTCACTTTGTCTGCTTCCGGGACTCTCAGGGCATGAAAGCCGTTTCCAAGACATCTCATGGAAGAAGACGATGAGAACTCCATGTCCCCTTGGAGACAGATGAGAGAAAGCGGCCTCTCGAGTTTTGCTGCAGGTGAGATGGTTGTGTAAGAATGTATCGATTTGTTCGAGACATATATATTCTCGATCTCTTTATCTCTGTGTCTGTGTGTGTGTGTAATTAAAATATGGATACTCTCCGTGTCGGGTTTTTTTCACAATTCGAATGGTGTGAGCTCTGTCTGTGGTTGAATCGATGTTGTGTTTTTGCGAGTTTAGGAGCATGGCTTTGGTTACAGGGCCGACAGGTTATCACGCGATTGTCGGCGAATACGGGGATGGTTGGCAAGGTGATTGATTTAATCTTAATTGTCTGCAATCACAAAAAAAAAACATGAAAAATCTTATCGCAATTCTCATACGCTTTTTGTAACAATTTGCGGTATTTTGTTACAAATATAAATATCACCTTTTAGAGTTATCGTAATAACATATAATTTACATTAAATTGCAATCCACAACCGCTATCTATCAGTACTCTGTTTTTTTTTTGTCTTTTTTTGCTGGAGATTGTGTAAATGTTTGGACTTGCAAGAACCCATTTGCCATCGCAGGTGATTTGCTTATAAGATCAATACTCATTTCAACAGGACACTAATTCTCTCTTGAGAAGGGAAACGTTTGGCTTCAAAGGTCATACCCACCCATTGCCCTCCTGAATCATCATCTCATACATCTTTGAAGGACAAGAAATACAACTGGCCAGATACAAAATTTCAAATTCAATCCACATCCCAAACAGACCCACTTCGGGTTTTTTTTCATGTTGTAGTTCAGTCAAGCATGTAGATCCTGGAGGCAATGTCTTGAACCAACCAATCAAACCCTTTCAACAGACCTTCACCGGTGATCGCGCTGCATCCGACGATTTTCCAGTGCCGGCTTTTATCCATCGACTCCAAGTTCAGCACCTGCGGATCAAGAACATGAAACCATGCCAACCCTTTTCCCATATAATCTCGGAATAACCCCCTTTTCAGATATTCAAAACGAGAAAGCGAGAAAAAATCTCAACCTTCATGCCATTCTAGACCGTTACAAAGATCTAGGACACTCACTTTGGCGATTTCTTCGGGAGTAAGAGCACCTCCTATGTCCTGTTTATTCGCAAATATCAGCAATGATGCCCCGACCAGCCTCTGCCATTCAGACCCAAAGGCGGCATTCTTATCAATATCTCGAGAGCCAACCTCTTCATGAAAACAGCAAGAGGAGAATTCCATCTTGTTTAACCGATGAAATATTCAATTACCTCTTCCTTCAAGAGATTGTGAAGCTCCATTCTGCAATCATCTAAACGTCTGATATCAGAGCTATCCACCACCCAAATCAACCCATCAGTCTGCTCAAAGTAATTCCTCCAGTACGATCTTATCGTCTTTTGCCCGCCTACATCCCATATATTAAGTGTATACCTACAATACCATCAAGAAGTTACCACTACCCGATTACCTGTTTCGACGAAATTCCGAAGAAAGAGGGAAAGATTCTAACCTTTGGTAAGTGATGACAGAAAACTCAGAGAAAGAGGGAAAGATCTTACCTTTGGTAACTGATGGTCTTGATGTTGAACCCTAGAGTTGGGCTGATGACGCTTGTGTCTTCTCCATTAATTTTCAGAACGATCGTCGTTTTCCCAGAATTATCGAGCCCACTACAAAACGCCAAAAAAAAATCTCTATCAGAATCCCCAAATGCACATATATATACACACACACACACATGCATGTTAAATGATATCTATGTAATGTGTACACAACGACAAGAACATACGGATCAGAGGAAAAGAGAAAGTGTGGAATAAGACATACACCATAAGGATTCGCATTTCCTTCTCTTTCTTCTTGATTTTGCGGATTATGCTTAGCAAACCCATTTCCTCTCCGACAAGAACAACCCACCGATCTTCGATCACTCCGAAAAGATTCTTCCTGTTGGATTATGTCAATTGAAGCAAATTCCATTTGAATGCGGAAACAATGACCAACGATGAGAACGAAGCAATAAAAAGCTCAAATCCGTGGGAGAGGCAAAAGGAGAGAAAAGATAAGAAGATGAGGACAGATTATAGATGCAGAAGCAGAAGATCCGGCGGTTACCTCTCTCGCTTTTTTTCCGCCGATCGTAGAATTGGGACGGAGACGGAGCGGCTTCGCCGGC